CTTGGTGGAGGTGCGGGTGGTGGTCTAGGCGGTGCCGGTGGTGGTGGGCTTGGTGGAGGTGCTGGTGGTGGTCTAGGCGGTGGCAGTGGGCTTGGGGGAGGTGCGGGTGGTGGCGGTGGGCTTGGCGGAGGTGCGGGTGGTGGTCTAGGTGGTGGTGGTGGGCTCGGTGGAGGCGCAGGTGGTGGGTTTGGTGGAGGCGCCGGTGGTGGTTTAGGTGGTGGCGGTGGGCTTGGTGGAGGCGCAGGTGGTGGCGGCGGACTTGGTGGAGGGGCAGGTGGTGGTACCGGTGGAGGTTTTGGAGCAGGTGGAGGCTTTGGAGGCGGCGGTGGCCTCGGAGGCGGCGGTGGTGGCGGGTTTGGTGGTGGAGGTGGGTTTGGAGGTGGCCATTAAAAGCCTGCATTCCCCATTGCATCAAGATGTTTTATTCTTGCATCAAAAACCTTTGGATGCATTATTTAGGCCAAAAAGTTGTATTCGTTTTATGTGTTCCAAAATGTTCCTTTTTTTCCAATTTGCATGAGAAGCTTCATCTATTTATATGCAATTTATCTATCACTTATTATACAATCACTTGTAACACACGCATCCAAACTTCCACTTAATATTGTTTCAGATTAGTTTGAGCTTAGCTTCAAAGATCAAAAGTACCACGAGGTCACATGTTCAAATCCAAGGAGGAATAAAAATCCCCTTGTGGCCATAGAGGTTCAAATGTGATGACTCCGGGCTATCTGCAAAGCAAGTGGTCGACCTGAGATTAATCGGCTCGTATAGCGGGTTAGATATCCAGGTTAATCAAAAAAAAGAAAAAAAAAAGAGCTTAGCAGACTTAATCGTTTGCTCAGCAAGACGAGGGAAACTTTATCCGGACAACGACTAACTTTTCCATCTCTTCCCTTCTTATAACAAACGCTTCGTGTGCTCACAATTGTTTATTCCCGTCTTTTGTCCTTGATGGTTCTTCCCCTCTTCCGTTTTCAATGGTTCTTCCTATCCTCCTCCTTCTTCCACTCGAGTGATTTTGTTTTATAAGGGACGATTTCGTTCTGAGCAAAATAATTCAATGAGACACGACAAATATGGAGAAACTGAAGGAAGGGTGAAGAAAGAAATCAAAGGCTAGCAGGTGTGGATGGGTGAAGAACGAAATTGAACGAGTTGTAGAAGTTATTGAATACGATCAGAAGGTTTTGGATAATTTTGGAAATTCTTGAAAATGGTTAAATGCTTTGACTCCCATGAGTTGGTTCCGTTTGTGAAAATGCTTGGACAACAATTACATCTATACTATATTATAAAACATTTGATAAAAACTCTTAAAAAATATTTTGTATGCATAAAGTACTATTTATTAATGCATATTACTTAAAACTCAAGATTGCAAGTACATTGTGCGTAAGTACAACTTATTAAAGCTCCATATCTGAATTCGTGTAACTAACTGCAGATAAACATAATCAAATACATGATAAACATCTCATTTTAAATATAAAAAATCTAAAATATAATTAGAATAATCATTGAGTTCTAACAGAATACTTAATTATTATTTTTATAAAATGT